ACGTCACCGCGGAGGGGAGTGGCGGGGCGGGAACTCGCCTATTACCGTAGTAACGCGAGCGTTACTTTACCGCCACGTACCCCAGGGGAGGTAGGGGTCAACATGTTACAATATGTATGTTAAGAGGTGCATATATTACACCTCCCCCCCTTAAGGAAAAATAAGCAGTAATAGTGCTTATTTTTGAGCAGAGTTACATTTCCTGTCCCTTTTGCAATCATGTGATACACATACACATACCTGCACGTAGCCTAAATCTAAGTTGTGCAGAATTACAGTTATGATACCTTCAGACTTGCAAAGTTGTAGTCCCGTGCTCATACATTATTATTATGTCGACATATAATTATCTTTTGCCAGAAATTATTGCATGCTTAGGGTTAGGATTCAGAGTCATAAGTTCTATCACCTCTATGGCATCACAATGTGAATTTCTTGTCCTTACAGATGGTTTACTATTTTCGTATTTGAGGCTTTCTCTTGATGAGTGAACTGAGTTGACTATCTTAGGCTTAAAGATTATAGTTGTACAAGGGTTATTGTCCTTCCACCATCTTGATAGATTTGGGCAATTTTTACGACAGCACTTGCAACAGCAGCAATAACAGAGAACACACAAAGTTAGGCTTGTGGTGACCATCCCTATATATGACAGAAAAGAGAGGTGATAATCTGTGTTTGAATGTTTAATTTTCCACTCTTGTTCTGAGATTAACCTTTCAACGTCGTCTACCCTGTGACTTGCCACACGTAAATCGTCAAGGTGATTGACTATGTGTTTTAAAGGCAGGTCCAAATGAATATCGTTAAGGTTTACAATTTTTTCCTTCTGTTTGACAGCAGTCGGCATCCAAGAACAGGTGAGGAATTATGTCCCTTTCTGTACTGTTTGTTTCTACCGTCATCTGGGCTTGAATGAGGACCTTGGTTCCATATGCCTTGCATAAGTTGTTTAATTTAAATTTACCTGTACCTACTATTTCGAGGTCCGTTGGTTCCCGTCCTGAGCAGAGTACAGTAAGAGTATCAGGTCGAGGGGCTACATACAGCCACTCGTTATTATCCAGTTGCGTCCAGATAGTCTGATTGATCTCCACGATTCTTCGGGAGCAGCTGGCTGGCACTACTCTAATGGGTTGCAGCATCTCTGCTTCGCAATCCTCATCTAAATGTGTGACTCGAATGGGATGTTTTTGTTTGCATATGCGATGGTAGCTGTCAAAGTGTTTACAATCTTTAATTTCGTCTGCCTTTAATTTCATGAAACCTTGCCTAACAGTATCCATCAACAGGTACTCACGTTCTGGTAAAATAAAAATAAATTTGTTGGTTGTATTTCTTATCTTAATAGGTAGTGGCAGAACGTGATAAATTTGGTAATTTACATGGTTAGATAAAGGTAGGCGAATTACATATACAAGAAAACTGTTCCTTAAAAATACATCAAAATCAATTATTCTTAACACTAAGCTTTGGTAAGCCACACTCAGGGGAATTGGTAATGAAAGTTCGCTTGGAATGTCAGCTTGACTAGCCTTTAAGTGATTTATAATCTGGGCAGGTGTTATAATATGGGGTTGAATTATCCCCCTTTGAGAATTGATAATTGCATCTATTAAAATTTCATACTCTCTTCTACACTCATTGATTGCTCTCTCTAACTGTATGGAGTGATCATTTACCGTGAGCAACATGGAGGTAGCTGTGAACATTCTCTTTACTTCGCCGTCGTGTTTATTTATGTGTTCGGCCATTTTCTGTAATCCCTTAGCTAAAATTCTTTCATTTTCGGATACATCCATCAAGGTGGAATTCATGGACCTTAAAGTTGACCTAACAACTGTTATCTGTTCCTTAGAAAGCTTTAGAAAATCAATCTGTTCTTCTTCTAATTTAGAAATTTTATCAGTATAATAAGAGGCATCTTCACTATCCATTGTACCAAAGAGTATTTTGCTGATTCCTCCTATAAAATTGAAAACTCCACGCCTTGCACGTGAATAATTAATTTTCTCTTCATTCCTAGTTAATTGCCTAACTAACATTTTCAAGTTTTCTACTTCCTTAATTTTTATTTCAATAAACTGAATGGATTTCCGGCAGTCAGTAAAGTTAACCCAGAAAGTAAATTCATGGTTTTTGCAAAAGTCAATGGACATTTGGGCGTACTTTTTAACAGCATCTAAATTCTTGTCGGCTTCGTCAAGGTTGACGTAAGTGATAATTTTCCATTCTGTATTGTACAGCTGTGCTTCTCCTAATCGCTCGTAGTAAAGTCCCGGCGATTCGTTGTATCTTACTAGGGTCGCGTCGAGGGCGAGCACTTGCTTCAGATATATCAGTGTTAAGCAGACGGTCCAGAGTCTGTGGGTGGCGGTCATTGTCCTGCAGTCAGTCAAAAAATGGTTTCAGTCTGTTTACGTGGACCTTGAGTGTTCTGTTTCTTGGTAATTTTAACGTAACATTTACGTCCTCTACTTCCGTAACTTCGTACGGTCCTATCCAAGGGGGAGACAACTTTAATGATCTGCCTCTTCTGACCTTCTCATCATGTAGCAAGACCTTGTCTCCAACTGTAAATAACGGAACATTGACGTTCTTATCATGATACTCCTTGCTGCGTTCTTTCTTTGCTATCAAATTATTTTTGGCTAAGTCGTAACTGGATTGTAATCGAGATTGTAATTCCTTGACGTAATTATCATATGTGTATAGAACTTCGGGAGGTTCCTTTTGCAATATGCCTGGTAC